TCTTTCCCACACAGAGAACAAACACACACACACACACACACATATATATGTCTCATATTGGTAAAACTAGAAAAATTAAAACACTGTTTGCTGGTTGAGTTTTCCTCAGTGTCTCCCAGCAAACTGACAGAGTTAATCTCAAATACCCCAGACCTGCTCCCAGACCTAATGGCTGGACTTGGTGATCTTAAAGGTCTCTTCCAGTCAAAGTGATTCTGTGATTCTGTGATCTTCAGCTGATCAGAAGCTGTGTAAACCTCAGCAGCCACTCCCACACAAAAGAAATTAAATCCTCCACATCTTGACTGGTTCTGCAGGGAGCTAGCTCAGCATAAAATGACCCTTAATAAAAATAAGGTGTAACCCTCCTGGTTACACAGAGCCTAAGCTGAGTAACTTAGACCTGGAACACCTTCAGCTGCCCTGAACTGTAACACCAGCACCCACTCCTTACTCAAGATTTTTGTCCATTTCTCTACAAGAGAAATGATTTTTTATATCAACTTCCAAAATGCTTCATTTTTGAGAGGTACTTGCAGGGGGAGCTTATGGGGGGTGCTGCTTCCTCATTTTAAATGCTTAGTTTCCTTGCAAGCAAGCAACTAATTGCACAGAAAAAATGATGAAGAATGAAGACTTACACCATAAGTAAGATCAAACATACAAACCATGGTAACCCCTATATATCCACACGTATTTATAAACACAAAGAGTGTTTGTAGCTATTACATGTACAGTACTTTCACTCTGAAATGTTCTTCTGAAGTCCAAAGGTGTTTTTTTTTTCCCCCACAGACAAGGATCTGCTTATCTGGCGATTAAGGTAATGCACATGACCTGTGCTTTTATCCATGTGTATCTCAACACTAACCCTAAGGTCAACAGGGAAAGCATGCTGTGAGTAAAACAAGGATTATGGAGACTACACTGTGCTGACCCTTCTCACACCTCTGCTGAGAAGCAGGAACCCACACCACGCATTATTTTCTTCACTCCATACCAGCCTTGTGCCAAGACCACCCACAGCAGCAGCACGTGCTCCCTAAGGGGATGGGGGTGCCGTTCACACCACCGCTCCCCTCACACCCGCCTGGGCATCCTGTGCTCCTGCTCTCTCCTTCCAACCCCCCAGCACCACGCTGACGAACGCATGCACCTACAAGTGGCATGTTGGACAGGGCGAGGTGCCCCTGCTCCCTCCTGATCCTGATGGAGAAGGTGGCTTTGAGGTCTGGCTCGTCGAAGCAGGGGAAGGCCGCGCGCGCAAACGTCGGCTCGAAGTGCGTCGCTGCGAGCTCCCTGAGGGGAAAGAGCACAGGGAGGACTGGAGGCACCCCGACGTGTGGCAAGCACCTCAGAACTGGTTGGCTGGAACCTCTCTGCTGGGAGGCCAAGCTGGGAGTGGGGGTTCTTCGGCCTCGAGAAAAGAAGGCTCCAGGGAGGCCTTCTGGTGGCCTTTCAGTGTGTTGAAGGGACTAGTAAGAAAGCTGGAGAGGGGCTTTGTACAAAGGCTTGCAGTGGTAGGATGAGGGGTAATGGTCAAAGGGGGAGAGGGGAGACTATGGAGCAGAAATGAGGAGGAAGTTCTTCACTGTGAGGGTGGTGAGCCCCTGGCCCAGGCTGCCCAGGGAAGCTGTGGATGCCCCATCAATGGAGGTGTTCAGGGCCAGGTTGCATGGGGTTTGAGCAACCTGGTCTGGCAGGAGGTGTCCCTGCCCATGGCAAGGGGGTTGGAATGGAACAAGAAGATATTTAAGGTTGGTTCCAACCCAACCCATTCAGTGATTCTACAAGTCATTAGTGTGCCCCAAATCCTCCTAAAGAAATGCTAAGGCACATGGAGGACG